ACATTTTGATTGATGACTCCTGAGGGAAACAGTGGTACTCTAAGTGCTGACGTTTCCTTATCTGTTGCCTGCATCATTCACATAAAATGACAGTGGAAAAGTTGTCAAACTCATCAACTAAGGCATTTATTTGCATGCGGCAAAAATGTCAAAGTATTTCAAAATATGTGTTGACATTTCGAGGGTACATGGACCATGAACATGTAAAAGCTTACCTTACTCCTCTTTTTCTCTCTTTTTGATCCAGGTGAAAAGGCTGAGGACGGACTGTCCCCAAACGACTTTCCTCTTTTTGCCCTAATAACCGATTCTGGCTGGGCTTTTGACTCTTTAATCATTTTATCGAACTCACGAGTTTTTGACAGCTTCAAGTAGCAGGGTTGACATATACGCAATGGAAACCCATCATCCCAAGCAATTTTTAGACCGAAAAATTTTTCAAGATCCTTCTCTATGCCTTCTACCTTAGCTTTGCTGCCATGTAAATCTACAGGATGGTTTTTCAAAACAATATTTTGGTTGCACGTTCTGCAAACAAGCCTGTTTAAGCCCGAGACCGGTTTTGTTGGTGTATCACCACATGCAGCCATGTCAGCCATGTTGACTTCGAAGAAAACTTCCGGTTTGATTCCCTTTGTGTTTCAACAGCCAATGAAAATAGTTCCCTGAGTAGGAACCAACCAGAGCTCTCGATCCCTGCCGCTGAGCAAAAGGATCGAAGCTCTGGGAACGAGAATGGGGATTTCTGTGTGAATTCCCCCTCACCCCCCCCCCCCAAAAAAAAGACCTATCAGTGACAGGATAGATTGACATGCCAGCTAGGTAATAGTTTGATTATCTTTTAATTAGATGAAATTGAACATGCTTATAAGACATGCCCATAGTTTTTATTTAGTTAATCTAAATAATGATGTAAAATGAAGAGGAATAATATATAACTCAAATAAATGGTATACATAGAAAAGCAGCAAATTGAATAATGGTAAAAACAAGTGAAAATGAATTGGCACAGGCATCCTATGTTGGTGAAAATAAGTAATCACCTACAAATTTAAGTTTTTTCAAAATAACTTGACTGAATGCAAATAAAAGCTAGGCAATTTAGACTCTCTGGTTTGTGAACCGCTGTCTGTTATTATGTACATGTATTGGTTGAGAACATAGGTACTCAGGGCTGTCACTATGTGGCCTATTTCTAAAAGCTGCAAGCAGTCCCTGTTGGCCAGTGGGCAAGTGACAGCAAACTGAACGAAACTGCAGACCTCAGGTGAGGCAAGAGGCAAAAGGTAACCCACATGGCAATCCTGAAGGACTTCTTACAGTTTTAGTCTTAAATAAGTAGTAAGAATGAAAAGAACCTATGAGATATATGGACCTACAAGTTTTCCAGTTCATGAGAATTATATTCCTCTGGTTCACTTTCTGAACAAGAGAATGTCTCAAAGGTAAGCTCCTTTTTTCTCCGGGATTGTCAAAGAAATTGAACAAATCTTCAGGCAAAGCCTGCATGATCTCCTCGAAGCAGGCTATGTCCTCAAAGGTTTCTTGAAATATTTCTAGAACCATCTTTGCATGAACAATGTTAAATACAGGAAACCTCTTTAAAATGTCAGAAACCGAAAATATCGAGGAAGCTTCTGCCACAAGCTCATTGATAAGTTCAGTGGAAAATCCATGAGCACTAGAAGATCCAAACACTGACAATGTGGGACCATTCAAATTGCTCTGCGACTCAGTTAAGGCTTGATGGAGAACATTGCGATCCTCAGCATTTACAGTTCTCTGGGTTGTTATAGTACTCTTGGATTGCAAAGATCCCATGGGGTTGTCAAAAGGAAATGCCTGTCGCTTGCACTCACCCCAGCCACATAAACACTTCTTCTCACAGTTGCTACAGCAGTCATGCAGACATGTTAAACTTTCCACAGCAGCATACTCTTCAAACAAGGCCTTGCGTATGCAAGTGTCTGTCTTACAGAACGTTTTGACTGCCTTATCACATTGTGAGAGTTGATTGCCGTGATAAATGATCACATTGTGTGCAGGTTTTCCATTACGACCTGCCCGTCCTGCCTCCTGAATATTCTGGTCAGTATTTTAAGAATCTCCAAAGTGTTTCTATCTACACAAGGCTTATCTTTTGTCTTAATATGAACAATAACAAAAAAGAAAAAAAAAAAGAATCAAATAATTTATGATAAAATAATATATTTTTTACAATAACTATCTGAAAAGAATTGAGTCCATTTATAGAATTTCTTTATCTTGCATGTTCAATCTACATTGCATGTACCCTTAATAGCCATCAAATAGTGGATATTTTTCTTCAATAAAAAGTCTCAGATTCCATGGGTTCTTATCAGACTTGCAAAATAATGAAATCTGTAGATAAATTGAAACTAATAACAGCAACAGCTTCAGAATTATTGAATTCTCAACATGCTGCAAGTAGTAGTGTGAGGATATTGCAAGGCACCTAAAAGCTGAAATCTTGCAATTTTTGCCCTGATTCTACTTTTGAAAAGTCATCATATGCATGATCATGTAGAAAACATATAAAGATCTAGATACATAGTTACCTTTAAGTATACGGAAGTTTGACAAACATTTTGTTATTACTGCTGGTGAGCAGTAATGTTCATCACTGACCAACCTCCTGTTTAATAATTGTCACTACAGTAGTAAAACACCAGTTTACAGCTAAAATAAAGCTAGCTGAGCACTTAATTGCAGACACTTGGGGAAAAGCAACATAATAATCACAAAGTCCTTTAAAAACACAACATACTGTACCTTCAAATCTGATGAATGAAGCATAATATTGTTAGTTAGCATATCAAAGAATATTTGTAATTATTTTTTTACAAATCCTGAGAGTTGATATAGCTGGTATGGTTATGTCAGGCACACATGCCACAGTGATGGCTTTAAAGGAAAGTGTACCTAAAAAACCAGTCCACTACTTCTCAGAGACGTCAGCTGAAACCCATCATCTAGATTTCGCACTGACAGTTTTGGACATACATGTATCTTCCAACATAACTGGTTATTATTACTTTTCAACACAACGTCAGGGTGCAGACCTTAAAAATCATGCTTGAAAATTTGAAGATTTTAAACTTCAGCCATGATTTTTAAAACACTGCAAGTTTACCAGTGCTGGGTTTCGCAGTCCAGAATTTAAAAGAATTTCAAAACTTTTTGATGGTTGCTTCATCTCAGAGGGGACAATGCCTGGAGGAAGTTTCCTTGTCTTATGTGAAAGCGCTTCCATAGATTCAACAGCTGCCTCTTGTTCTTTGGGCTTAGCAGGTAAAATTGTGCGAAGACGGGGAACATTTTGATTGATGACTCCTGAGGGAAACAGTGGTACTCTAAGTGCTGACGTTTCCTTATCTGTTGCCTGCATCATTCACATAAAATGACAGTGGAAAAGTTGTCAAACTCATCAACTAAGGCATTTATTTGCATGCGGCAAAAATGTCAAAGTATTTCAAAATATGTGTTGACATTTCGAGGGTACATGGACCATGAACATGTAAAAGCTTACCTTACTCCTCTTTTTCTCTCTTTTTGATCCAGGTGAAAAGGCTGAGGACGGACTGTCCCCAAACGACTTTCCTCTTTTTGCCCTAATAACCGATTCTGGCTGGGCTTTTGACTCTTTAATCATTTTATCGAACTCACGAGTTTTTGACAGCTTCAAGTAGCAGGGTTGACATATACGCAATGGAAACCCATCATCCCAAGCAATTTTTAGACCGAAAAATTTTTCAAGATCCTTCTCTATGCCTTCTACCTTAGCTTTGCTGCCATGTAAATCTACAGGATGGTTTTTCAAAACAATATTTTGGTTGCACGTTCTGCAAACAAGCCTGTTTAAGCCCGAGACCGGTTTTGTTGGTGTATCACCACATGCAGCCATGTCAGCCATGTTGACTTCGAAGAAAACTTCCGGTTTGATTCCCTTTGTGTTTCAACAGCCAATGAAAATAGTTCCCTGAGTAGGAACCAACCAGAGCTCTCGATCCCTGCCGCTGAGCAAAAGGATCGAAGCTCTGGGAACGAGAATGGGGATTTCTGTGTGAATTCCCCCTCACCCCCCCCCCCCAAAAAAAAGACCTATCAGTGACAGGATAGATTGACATGCCAGCTAGGTAATAGTTTGATTATCTTTTAATTAGATGAAATTGAACATGCTTATAAGACATGCCCATAGTTTTTATTTAGTTAATCTAAATAATGATGTAAAATGAAGAGGAATAATATATAACTCAAATAAATGGTATACATAGAAAAGCAGCAAATTGAATAATGGTAAAAACAAGTGAAAATGAATTGGCACAGGCATCCTATGTTGGTGAAAATAAGTAATCACCTACAAATTTAAGTTTTTTCAAAATAACTTGACTGAATGCAAATAAAAGCTAGGCAATTTAGACTCTCTGGTTTGTGAACCGCTGTCTGTTATTATGTACATGTATTGGTTGAGAACATAGGTACTCAGGGCTGTCACTATGTGGCCTATTTCTAAAAGCTGCAAGCAGTCCCTGTTGGCCAGTGGGCAAGTGACAGCAAACTGAACGAAACTGCAGACCTCAGGTGAGGCAAGAGGCAAAAGGTAACCCACATGGCAATCCTGAAGGACTTCTTACAGTTTTAGTCTTAAATAAGTAGTAAGAATGAAAAGAACCTATGAGATATATGGACCTACAAGTTTTCCAGTTCATGAGAATTATATTCCTCTGGTTCACTTTCTGAACAAGAGAATGTCTCAAAGGTAAGCTCCTTTTTTCTCCGGGATTGTCAAAGAAATTGAACAAATCTTCAGGCAAAGCCTGCATGATCTCCTCGAAGCAGGCTATGTCCTCAAAGGTTTCTTGAAATATTTCTAGAACCATCTTTGCATGAACAATGTTAAATACAGGAAACCTCTTTAAAATGTCAGAAACCGAAAATATCGAGGAAGCTTCTGCCACAAGCTCATTGATAAGTTCAGTGGAAAATCCATGAGCACTAGAAGATCCAAACACTGACAATGTGGGACCATTCAAATTGCTCTGCGACTCAGTTAAGGCTTGATGGAGAACATTGCGATCCTCAGCATTTACAGTTCTCTGGGTTGTTATAGTACTCTTGGATTGCAAAGATCCCATGGGGTTGTCAAAAGGAAATGCCTGTCGCTTGCACTCACCCCAGCCACATAAACACTTCTTCTCACAGTTGCTACAGCAGTCATGCAGACATGTTAAACTTTCCACAGCAGCATACTCTTCAAACAAGGCCTTGCGTATGCAAGTGTCTGTCTTACAGAACGTTTTGACTGCCTTATCACATTGTGAGAGTTGATTGCCGTGATAAATGATCACATTGTGTGCAGGTTTTCCATTACGACCTGCCCGTCCTGCCTCCTGAATGTGATCAACTGTACTCCATGCGGGACCAATGTGTATGACAAATTTTACATCTGGGAAGTTGACCCCCATACTAAACGCAGAGGTTGCAACCACAACCTTAACACAGCCACTATTTTGCTTGAAGGAATCAGTTACTCTACCCTTGTACTTTGGCCAGGTCATGGAATGATAGATTCCAAGCAGTCGGTTCGCTGGCACACAAGGCTTGTCAGTAACATAGCCATCGGCACCAAGTATTCCAAGAAGATGTCCACTCAATTTGGCCACATCTTGCATTGTGGTACAAAAAATTATGGTTTTGGGCATATTTTCCCTTTCCAATCGAATCATGTCAATTAACCACTGAAGATGTTGGAGATGGTTTTCTCTTTTTGTTTTTATGATGGTGAAACGAATGTTGCTCCGTTCAGGACCGATATCTAAAACAACTTTGTCTTCTTGAAAGACAAGTCTTTCATGATGGTCTGCTTCATTTTAACATCAGCTGTTCCAGTTAATGCCAAGAATGGGATACCTAAATATAAGCCCTTTAAGTATGCCACATAATAAAAACTTGCATATGTAAGGTGTTGGCTAGTAGATTTTTTACAAAGATCTGACTAAAAAAATTATTTTCAACCTTTGAAATATTGCTTATTTCTCAAATATAGAAAAGATTAAGCTTGCATTTCTAAAATGGTGACAACAAACAGATTATGTTGCCCAGCACTTTAAAACTAGCGACATCTGCAAGTGTGCTTTTACAGTAAACGATGTGTGTAAACTATCAGGGATAATTCCATTTAAAAAGTTAAAAGTTAACATTTCCGCACAGCCCCATACAGTTATTATGCATGCGTAATCACATATCGAATACACATTCTTTATAATACCTGCACAAAAAGATCGCAACGTAGATAGCGAGCCACAGTCCTTTCGAAATGGTTGAAGAAACTTGTTCCCGCATTTTTCACTCTTGCCCCTGTGAACACAAGTAAACTATTGTAAATGCGGGACTAGCTGTAAGGTATGAAGATAAATGGCCCTAGCAATGAATTGACTGTAAAATACACAACGCAAACAACAGGGAAGTCATTTTAGTTCAAATCTTTTAAAAAAGCTGAATTTAGAACGTAATTTGCTTGTTCTTGTACATTCTCTTTTAAAATTCAAATTACAACGATCTCCCATAGAATCTTGGCTATCTGTAGGTCAATTAACATGATGCGACCATTGGTTGGAGATACAGGAAAATTATCTTACGTTGTGTTGTTTTCTTGGACTTTTGTCTAAGGAAATTTGGGACTTCTTTGGATGTTTTGGACTTGAGGAAGCTCAAGAGACGCAGTAAAGCTTATTAACTTTGATTTTCCTTTTTCCACACCACATAATTTGACCACGGGGAGTGGACTTGTTCAAAGCATAATTTTACACAGATATGCATACACTCTGATCTCCCACGAATCAATGTGATTGAACATAGAAAGTTATTAGTAATAGTTTATGAAAGTTTAGCGTTGACTTAAGGCGTTTTCCTAAGGGTAGTAGGCATTCTAAACGAATGCAAACATCCAAAAAATATTTCCAAAAGTCAAAACATCACTTTATAGCTTATTTAAATTAAGACTTGTAATGTATGTATGTATGTAATGTAATGTATGCTGTATGTCTTTGTCAGTTATCAATTACTGACAAGATATTTTTGAAAGCAGGAACCTCCTCAATATGTCTTGACACGTACCTGTTGTTGAGAATTTGCATTGCATACAACAGCCTGAACAGCCAAAGCGTTATCGTTGGAAGAAGCCATGTTGGAAATAAAAGGCTGCAGGTCATTATGGGAAATGAGCGGGAAAATGGACCATGTGGTCACTTGTTATGACCAAATTAGGTAAATAACCGTTTTTGCACATTTTTGGATTTTTAAGCGTCCATGTTTGTTTATTTACTAAATAACCAATTGTCTAGTTTGTTTATAAATAACCAATTTTTTCGTTCCGCCTGCATTTTGGAAATAACCATTTTCGCCATTGGTTATTTGATAAATAACTTATTTCGCATTTTGGTTATTTATTAAATAACCAATTTCCATTTCGGTTATTTAACAAATAACCAGTTTTTCATTTTTGTTATTTAGAAATGTTATTCAGTTATTCAGTTTTGGTTACGGCGAAACCTGTATTAAGCGGACACCCTCTATTAAGCAGATAGTAGCCGAAGTTCCCAAATTTATTTCCCTTATTTACTTTAAATGAAACCTTTATTAAGCAGACACCTAAAAAGTACCTGAAATGGTCGTTTCTATTGTTGCCAACCTGTATTAACGGACACTTGTAATTGGTCTAGATAGCAGCAACAATATAGATAGTCGTATGAACATAACAACTTTCTTTAATTTTCCAGACATGTTTCGATGGTACATCCGTCATCTTCAGTGTCACATATTTTGAAATCGCCATTGAATTTAAAGCGTGCGCCATCTTACAAAGTTCGTTACATTGCATTGATAATATTGCGTACTAATACAAAAAAAAAATTAAATGAGTGACAGTTCTTTACAGGGAGAGAGTCAGGTTAATTTGTTTCACCTGCTTGTTGAGATCCGGCTTCTCCCATTTTATAAACATGGATTCCTTAAGCTTCACTTGGTACTTAGTGGCTGCAGAGTCCAGGATCTCGAAGCAATCCAGTGTGCAGGATGCTCTACAAAACTCTGAACTCTGCAGATCTTTAAAAACGTTCAAAGACCTGTCTGAAAGTAAGTGCTCGCGCACTCGTGTGGAGAAGTGTCAGCTGGTTTCACCAACAGAACGAGCATTACAACTTGCACACGAAAATTTATAGACCACACGCGTGCGTAGCCCCTCAGGGACCGCATCTTTCACATTAAAAAGATTCCTGACTTTGAAAGTAGTAAAGACAAACCTTAAATCAATAGGTTTACATAACCGGTTAGCAAGTTTGCGTATACTCCTTTGTGCCGTGACTGAGAAGTGCCCAACGTAAGGGATTTTAAAGAAGAACTTAGGTGTTTCCTGGGGCTCAACTCCTGAATAGGACTGTGTTTCCCCTCCCTTGACTGCTGTCTGAATATGTTTAGAAATATATTTGTTGATAAGGTTCTCAGGTAAGAGATTCCTCCGCAGAATGACAGACAATTTTTGAAGGTCAGTAAGGAACCCCATGCAAGTGTTGTTTGTCTCAAAAGTTCTATGAATCAAGGTTTTGATTAACCCCAATTTGTAGGTAAAGGGGCAAAAACTCAGATAACTGGTGAGCAAACCTGTGAATGTCTTTTTCCGGTAAACGGTGGTTACACTTTGGTGTGGTAGTATTGAAGTAATTGGGTAATTGAAGAAAGGGGTTGCATCCCGTTCAGAGTGGAAAAGGCAAAATGTATCGTCTAAGTAGCAACGATAGAATAATACCTCTGAATCCCCATATTGATCCAACCATATATATTCTCATTGTGACTCATAAAGAGATTGGCGAGAACAGGGGCAAGGGGGGACTCCATGGCTACACCATCCACCTGATCATAGAAGTTACCCTTGAACAGGGAGTGAGTTTCGTTGTGCACCCTCGAAGTGATCTCCACAAATACTTGTATTATCGGTTTCAAGTTTTAATGTTGCATTACGAACTAAAATCTTCTACTGTCTTCGTAATTTGTTTTCCTTTCGAATTTGGTAATACGAAAGCCCATGCTTGGTTCTGTAATTATTCGTACACCCACGAACACAGCAATTAGCATGCTTTGCCATTTTTCTTCAGTGTTTTGCAAAGAAAACGTTCCTCGCTGCCGCCATTTGAAGTGTCTTACGTGGACAAGTAATTCATGGTAGTCTCCATATAGACTCCCTAAAATTATCTCTTAAGAAGTATACTAAGCCACATACCCTTATATATCCTGTATACCCTGTATACCCCTATATATCTTGTTATTGCCCATCATACCCTCACATGCGTTTGGTGCCTTAAAAGAATAACATGACTTTCACACAATAGGCCTTTAAAATTATTATTTAGATTCTTAATACACTGTAACTTGTTTCAAAAGCTAGTTTTTTTCTAAATATAATGGTGGAAGACAAGACTGCTCAGTTTTTACAATATTTCTCTTGTAGATGGTACCATCCGATACAGTACTAGAACAATCAGTCCGAATTCCCTTGGTTATCAAGAACTGAAATACCATAATAAATATTCTTTAGAGCTAAATGTTTTTTTCTTACAAATTCCAGTTTTCCTTGAATATGCCCCTCTGTTTTAGAAGTCACTGTAAACTGTATATTATTTCCACGCAGACTCTTGGTCACAAAATTATAACGGAGCCCCATACCTAAGGAAATGTGGTAATCTACCTATCCGAGAAAATTTGGTAATCACGTGACCGTACGACTGTCCGTCCGCACCACAGGGAAACCAATGTTTACTCTCACACTTTATTTGGGAGCTCAAGAGAAAGGCTAATTGCACATCAATGTTGTAATCAATTGACAGCTGTCAAAACAGGATATCCGCTGACCAGTATCACCTGACCGTACCGTGGGCTCAAGTGTCGACCCATCGAAGTCGAGTACTTTTTTGAAGTTATCCGCTGACAAATTAATAGTTTCAAATGATCGCAGGCTCAAGTCTATTTTTGCCAATGATTCACATTTGAAATGTGTTGTGTTTTTGTCACTATGGCCCGCACTGTCAAGATTTTAATTTCAAACTTGCCTCGGACGCGAAAATTCAGCCAGCTTTTTAAAAATACAGTTGGGAAGACCTTTTCTTACTATGGTCATGCTCTACGTCCAATTTTTGTACTATGATTGGTCAAAATTGGACAGGTGAGTTCATGCGGAAAATTCATACAGCATCTTGAAAGTTATTTACTTTGACAGCTGAAGCTGACAGAGTTTTGTTTCAGCTTGTGATGTTTTTAACTGTCTTTTTCCACTGGATGTACAAAATGAAATACAGCTACTAACAAGAGTCTTCTCTTAGCCATGGGACCAAACAAATAACCCAAAAACCAACTCTTTACGCACCGATGTCAAAATTGGGTAATCCGATTTCGGATGGCATCGTTTTTGTTTTTCACCTTGCTTAATGCGTAAGAGGGTTTAAAAGTCTCAAGCAACTGTGACCTTCCTTGATATCTTTCGGGAACTGAATCTCGAATGGTAAGCCTGAGTAATTATTGTATTTGATGTTCGTTTTTGTTATATTTAAAAATTGTGAAATACCGTATATACTGTCCGAGGTCTGTATGATGAATAGGTACTGTTTCACCTCAGATGTGATGTATAACAAGTATAAAAGGTTAGTTTACACAGCCTCAGATTTGTAAAGTAAACCTA